TTATGTTGAACCTCTCAAGAACCTTCTCAATATATTTTTCTTGAGATAACCATAACTTCCTATTCTGTCTATCTCAAGAGATCTTTATACTAAGAATTTGTCTAGTTCGTCCCAAGTCCTTCATTGCAAAAGACTTGCTAAGCTCATTTTTCAACCTGTCAATCTTGTTAGAATCATGTCCAACTATCAACATATCATCAACATAAAGCAAGAGAATAATGAAATCACCATCAAGAAATTTCTTTATAAATACACAATGATCTGAAGTGGTCCTAGTGTACCCAAGAACAACCATGAAGGAGTCAAGTTTGTTGTACCACTTTCTTGGTGCTTGTTTCAACCCATACAAGTTTTTCTTTAATTTGCACATCAAATGTTCTTTGCCTTTTTCCTTGAATCCCTCTGGTTGCTCCATATAGATTTTTTCTTCCAAATCACCATGAAGGAAGGCAGTCTTCACATCAAGCTATTCAACTTCCAAATTTAGACTTGCAACTAGTCCAAGCACAACTCGAATAGAAGACATTTTCACCACAAGAGAGAATATTTGTTCAAAGTTGACACCCTTTTTTTGACTGAAACCCTTCACAACCAGCCTTGCTTTGTATTTTAGTTGTGAGACACTCTCATCAGATTTCAATTTATAAACCCATTTGTTTTTTAGTGCCCTTTTCCCCTTTGGTAATTTCACCAAATCAAACGTGGGATTCTCATACAAGGATTTTAATTCCTATTGCATTGCTTTCAGCCACTCATCTTTCTTGTCATGTGACGTAGCCTCTTGATAAGTCTTTGGCTCTCCCCTATCTGTCAGCATCACATACTCATGTGGAGGATACCTAGTGGAAGGTTTTCTCTCTCTAGTTGATCTTCTAAGATGAACTTGTGGTGAAGGAACTGAATGTACCTATTCATTATGTACTTCCTTTGTATTTTCATTTACAAGAGTTTCATCACTAACTGTATCATCCTGTTCATTTGGTACAACTCCCCCATGATCACCATCAACTGTAGGTGGAAAAACCGGATCCAAGTTAATTGGAACATCAATAGAGAATTTTGGCTTCTCAATTCTCTATATCTTCAATTGTTTGATCCTTAAGAAATACAACATCTTTGCTTCTGATCACTTTCTTGTCCACTGGATCCCATAACCTATACCCAAACTCTTTGTGCCCATAGCCTAAGAAGATGCACTATTTATCCTTGTCATCAAGCTTGGATCTTTCATCTCTAGGAATATGAACAAATGCCCTGCAGCCAAACACTTTCAAATGACTGTATGATATCGCTTTCCCTGTCCAAACTTTTTCAGGAATATCTACATTCAAAGGAACTGAAGGAGAAAGGTTGATGATGTTAACTATAGTTTTCATAGCCTCACCCCAAAAGGATTTAGGTAACTTAGCATGAAAAAGCATGCATCTGATTCTATCAGTAATTGTTCTATTCATTCTCTCTGCTACTCCATTGTATTGAGGAGTCTTAGGAACACTTTTCTCAAGTCTGATACCATGGATCCTACAATATTCTTCAAAAGGACCCCTATATTCACCACCATTATCAGCTCGGATGCACTTCARCTTATTCCYTGTTTCTCTCTCAACCTTGGCATGAAAATACTTGAAAACATCCAACACCTGATCCTTAGATTTCAAGGCAAATGTTTACACTTTTCTGGAGTGGTCATCAATAAATGTCACGAAATATAATGCACCACCAAGAGATCTATCTTTCATGTAACAAACGTCACTGTGAACTAAATCTAAAACATGAGGCTTTCTAGATGGAGGAAATTTATGAAATGCAACTCTACTTTGTTTGCCAGCTAAGCAATGTACACATGTTTCAAGAGGCATACCTTTCACATCAGGAAGAAGATTTTCTCTGAAAAATATTTGAAGCCCTTTTCCACTCAAATGTCCAAGCCTCCGGTGCCAAAGCTCAATGGATGAATCATAAACTGCATTAACCTCTCCTTTGCTCAACCTTGCATGCATCACATAAAGGGTATTGTGCTTCTTTCCCTTTGCCACAATGAGTGAACCCCGACTGAGCTTCCATTTTCTATCATTGAAGGTGTTTGTATAACCTTCATCATCTAACCTGCTAGTGGAAGTCAAATTTAGGCGGATATCAGGAACATGTCTAACATTCTTCAAAATTAATTTGCAACCAATATTGCTATCTAGACAAATGTCTCCCATGCCAACAATCTTGGATGCATCAGCATTCCCCATACGAACATGTCCAAAATCACCTGTAGTGTAAGTTGTGAAAAGTTCACCATGGGGAGTAACATGAAAAGAAACACCCGAATCTATGACCCAATAACTGTCTGGGCATGCAAAGTTGACATAATTATCATCACAAACAATAACAACATCACCCTCAGCTACAACAGTGTAGTATCTTTTTCTTCTTTCTTACCTTCACCTTTCCCTTTGGCTTGTTCTCTTTTCCAGACTTTGCATTCATTTTTGTAATGTCCTGGTTTATTACAATGATGACAAATGATATTTTTTCCTGGACCTGGACCTTCCTCTGGATTTATCATATTTGTTACGGAGTCTCTGCTCTTACTTCTTCCCTATCTTTCTTTCTTTTCTATCACAAGAGCTTGAGATTCTGAGTAAGTTCCTTATTCTTTCCTCCTGGACTCTTCATTCAACAAAACATCTTTGACTGTGTCAATGGTTACTATACCATTAGGGGCTGAATTATTGACTGAAACCACCAAGATTTTTCAACTGTCAGACAAGGAATTAAGTAACAACAAGGCCTGCATTTCATCATCCAGATTCAATTTCATAGTAGTCAATTGATTTATCAAAGCTTGAAAATCACTTAAATGTTCAGACATATTAGTCCCATCTTTATATCTCAAGTGTGCTAGTTTTCTAATCAATGCAGCCTTGTTTAAACCCGTTTTCCTTTTATACATAAACTCAAATGTTTTCCTATGCATGATTCCCCATTCATCACTTGACTTGTCACTTGGCTTTGCTTCATCACCTCTTATGGGTAAGTACAAATCTTTGCAATAAAGAATGTCCTCCATTCTGAGTTTCCAAATGGCATAATTCGATGAAGTTAATTTTATCATAACACCCGAGGATTTCTCCATTTGTATCAACACAAACAATTAATTTCAGCTAACCTGGTTCTGATACCACTGTTGGGTAAGTTACACTATAGTAGAAGAAATGAGTATAAAACCAATCACAGGACAGCAAGAACTTTTCCCCTAAGTTTGTGTGTGAAAATGAGTATGCCAACAACAATGATAACAAGTAAACAATTCAGCCAAGCAACAGAAAAACAGATAACAATCACTACACAATAGCACAGCAGAATTTTTACGTGAAAAAACCACAAGAACTATGGTCCGTAAAAGTCTTCCACTAATTCAGAAATTAATGGGTACAAAAGTCTTCTTTACTTGCAACTAGAGGCTTATAAACATCAACGAAATAATCCTTGGCTCACAAGAATAGCATTAACATCACCAAATGCAAGGTGGATACAACACAAACAGAGGTTTAGATCTTACCAAGTTGCTGTAAATCTGAATTGAGAAATAGAGAAAGGAAGAACAATCAAAAAATCTGAACTGGAGTGGGATTCTTAACTCCAACACTTAATATCATCAAGAACAGGCTTGAAAGGCACCTCCGAACTTGATCTTGAATGGAATAAGAGCCAGCTTCTTCTTCTTCTTCTTCTTCTTCACAAAACTCAAAGGATCTCTATCGGGTGGTTACAAATTTGATGCCAAAAAAAACTAAAAGTGAAAGCATTATTTCTACTATACGGCTCCTTTTTTGGGAGCCAATAAAGGTGGGGTGGGCCCCTCATATGGGCTGGACCCACACCCAATAGGAACTCCGTTGGTTATTGTCTTCTTCCGGGGGCGCAGGCGACCCCTCTTCTATCAGATGATGACTATCCACAGATGCGTAGTGCCTCCACGAAGTGCCCTCTATGGGTCACTTATATGCCGATCGATCAGAGCCGAGGGGACGATACCTTGCCCATTTGGAGCCTGAGGTATCTATTATAACCAACTATCTGTTGATTAGACAGTCTTCCCTGTAGGCTGTAGCTCCAACGTACGTAATTTCTGGCACATCATATGTTTTCAGGACGACATTAACCAAAATCTTTTGGGACTGGGAATTGCAGGAATAGGCCAATTGAGAACAGGGACGACATCGTGCTGTGGTACACATTGGGCTTTCATCATGTCCCTTGCCAGGAAGACTTTCCGGTGATGCTGACGCTAAGAGGCGGATTTGAGATCCGACCGGCCAATTTCTTTGACAGCAATCCGGTGCTGAAAACAAAACCTCCCATGTATGTAATATGGTCCAACGGCACAACAAGATGATGCTAGCCTGCTAGGAGGAGCTCAACTCAAAGCATTTTCCTCATGGGCTGGGCTTGTATTATTGCCTTCTTATCCTGTAGAATTGCCCACAAAAAATTATATGGTCTATATATATATATATAATGGTCAAAAGATTTGATTTGAGGATCAAGATAGAAAGCAATAAAAAGTTAGGTGGATAACTGGATACGCATTTTACTATAGTTGCGTTGCACCGGGTTGCAAGAGGAAGATGTGACGTGTGGGGGTCTTTTTTACGCCAACCATCTTGCCACGTGGAACATTCGTTAATTATTTTTACTCATTATCCCACTAGCAATAGCAGAGTAGCAGACCGCTCCCATATAATAAGCATTAAGCACCCTGCACCCTGTGGGCTATGGCTAGTCAGCCTAGTCTGGGCTGGGGCCTAACCGCGTTTCAACATGCTGTGGAAGCCCATATTAGGCTCATCCCCACTCCAAGTCTCCAACCCCGGGCCGGACCGCGTTGGTGGCTTGGTTCTAGTCGCCCGGGGGATGTCGTCCAGGCGAGGGCCGAGGAATACAGATGAGCATTTTTCATATCCAAAATTCCCGTGAAACAAAACATTACACGTATAGATTCAGTGTCACAGGCGCTCAAGATGATAATCTCCTGTGGGGACACATGTTACCTGGACGGTCAGAGATAGGCTCTTGGATAGTTGGATCAGGATAATAGATTGCGATTCGATCTTCATCTTTGCTTCGGCGTTGGCGAGACTCGAGACTGAGAGAAAACGATATTTCAGTTGGAAATGGGAACTCTGTCATTCTTCCCCCTTCATGTTTCTTCTCTACTACGACATCATCATTGCTCATCAAAAACCCATCTCGTCAATCTTGTTTTCTCGCCAAAAATCTCTTCAATCAAGCTTACTCCAAAAGATTTCTGTAACCAAATCACAGTTGCTCGATGCAATCGAAATGACTTGAACGAATCTAGGTTCGTGGATGAAAACGGCGTGGTTGAGGACATGGATGGTTATATGAACTACCTTTCTCTTGAGTATGACTCTGTTTGGGACACCAAGCCATCATGGTAAGCGTTTTCTTTGATGGATTTTCTACTTCTGTTACAGTGTTACTCTCTATTGGGCATTTGGAGTTCTACTGTTCTACTTCTGGTGGCATTCGATTGAATTTACCTTATTATCAGACATTGGGATTGTTGGTTTATGGCTTTGTACACTTGCAATTGGGCTTGTTGGCTTTGTACACTTGCAATTCTGAATAGTGCTCAGGTTTTTTCCAATGTTGAAATGGCAGAACATTTTTCGATTGACTTTGCCTTATTATCAGAAATTGGGCTTGTTGGCTTTGTACACTTGCAATTCTGAATAGTGCTCAGTTGTTTTTCCAATGTTGAAATGCAGAACATTTTCGATTCGAAATGTTTTAACCATTTCCCCGCCCCTTTTACATGTAAACAACAACAACTTAAAGATTTGTTTCCACTCTTTCTGCCCTGTAAGAGGGTGTTAGGTATCCCTATTTCTGCCAAAAATAAAAAATAAAAAATGGAGGCCTTATTTATACTTGTGTCTTTTCATGATTTAAAAATCTGAATTCCATGTTTAAGCTACATTTATGTGTTCATCCTTACAATTCAGCATTTGGAGCAGTCTTAGATAGTTAGATGGCCATGTATTGGAATTAAATTACTAGTAAAAATTGAACTAAAGTGATGTAAAGTTACAAGCAAAGTAAAAAATATTAATGCATAAAGTGAGTTCTTTTGGCTTGAAGGTGGAGAACTCCAAATAGTTGCTTCAAAAAATGCATATGGTTTACTGCTAAATCTTAATCTTAATTTGTTTTGTTAAAATTTAGCATAAGGTCTGTTTGACTGGGAATATCTATGCATAGCTCACAAGGTTGCATACAAGAAATTGCAGTATCTACATTTGTGTTTCCATTCCATTTACATCCATCCTTCCATTTTCTTGCTAGGTGTCAGCCGTGGACAATAATGTTTACTGGACTATTGGTTATTACTTTTAGCTGGCTAATCTTACACTCTCTTCCAGTCACCATTGTGGTTCTATCCCTGATTTGTGTGTGGTGGTATCTCTTTCTCTATGCATATCCCAAGGTTTGAATGTCATCCACTTGTCTGACACTTCAATTTCCTCCTTGTATGAGCATCTCATTAACAATCATATAATGTCATCAATACAGCTCAGATCAGTTATTTGATGTATTAGTCAAGTTAAATCCAAGGGAGAAACCTAAAGGATGGTGCTCTGGTGAAGCACCTTCTCTCACACTGGCCTGGAGAAGTTAAATAGTAACAGTGAAGTATGGAAAAATTGGTTGATTTTCACAGCATCTGTTGTTTGTTTATCATAGTGTTCCTTTTTTTATCCATCTTTGTTTGTCAGCTTGTAGTAGTTATGATCTGTTGTTCACTAGACTTTACCGGTGGATGTTGGAAGGAAAGGAATAACCGTAATGAATTTTCTGTAATATGGTATCAGAGTGCACATGAGGTTAATATCTAGAAACAAAATGTGATTCATTCAATCCAGAATAGTGTTGTAAAAATTGGTTAAATGAACAGAGTGCACCATGAATCTGAGTGGAGCCTCCAGAGGAACAACCACAGAAAGAAGGCTTGCCAATGATGTTTATTACCAACACAATAATGTGCCACAAAGTACTTTTGTTTCCTTCACTAGGTACAGATTGGGCAATGGAAATAAAATAAAATTTTGGACTGATCTCTGGTGGGGAAACAATCCCCTATCAGTTTCCTTCCCTTCCCTGTTTTCTTTAGTAAGAGATAAAAATGCCCTGGTCTCCTCAACCATCCTTTTGGCAAAAAACCAAGCTTCATATAATTTTAACTTCCATAGAGACTTAACAGATTCTGAAATCTCAGACATTTTCTGCCAACTCTCCATGATCTCAGAAGGCTTCCTCACTCCCTCATCTCAAGACAAGCTAATTTGGTCCCTCACTCCCTCAGGCCAGTTCTCCTCCAATTCCTACTTTCAAAAGCTAATAGAGAACCCTCCCCCCCCCCAGCCTTTCTGGACAAAAGGATTTGGCTCTCCTTTGCTCCCCCCAAAGTGGCCTTCTTCGTTTGGGAGGCAGCCTGTGGCAAGCTGAACACCTGTGATATCTTACAGAAGAAATCCTTGGGAAAGAGATATATCTCCCCCCATGTTTGTTTCATGTGCTTTGAGAATGGAGAGTCAATTAGTCACTTATTAATCAACTGCAGCTTTTCCAGAAATATATGGCAATTTTTTCTGGATGCGTCTCTAGGTGGAAGCTACGGCTGGACTCCTCCAGACTCAGTCACTGATTTTGTTACCCAGTGGGTCAAACCAAAGATGAGGAAAAGAGGAAAGCTCTTTTTGGGAAGCAGTAATTCATGCTGTGATGTGGGGAATCAGGGAAGAAAGGAATAGAAAAATCTTTGAGGATAGCTTCTCCTCCTTGGATAGTGTTCGTGAGAAGATCTTATCTAAAACTTCTTCTTGGATGCTGGTCCACCAGCTCTTCGATGGGGTGAACAGAGGGGATTTACAAAGAAACTGGCTGCAAGTCCTGTAGGGACTGTGACTACTTTTTACAGTTTGATGACAGCTTTAGAAGGTCGCTGCAGCCTCCATCAGCTGCTGGAATAGGGGGTACTGTGAGAAACTCTACAGGAGATGTCTTGTGGGCCTTTAGTGGCCCAGTCCAAGCTGCAGATGCCTCAGAAGCTGAAGTCAGATCCCTTATAGAAGGTTTAATAGTTGCTATGAACAACCATTTCAGTCCATTAGCAGTAGAAGGAGACTCAAGAGTTACAAACAAGTGGGAAAAAGATTCGGATGAGGATCCATGGAAGCTAGCTCACCTCCTTGCAGAAATCCATGAGCTGTCTTCTTTGCTGAACTTCTCTTTTAGATGGGTTCCCCAGGAGATCAATAGAACAGCAGATGCCTTAGCAAAGCAAGGATTGGGAAGGGACTTTTTGTATAGTGCTAACTCTTTGCCATCTTAGTTTGATACAGGCTTTTCCTTTTATGTTTTTTAGGCCTGTTTGTACATCCCTCCCCCCCTTTTTGAATATAAGTTATCCTTCTCTTCAAAAACAATAATGTGCCATAGTGAACTTGGGGATTATGATAAATTGAAATTTTGAGATGTGATGAAATGTCTGTGCCTGTGGTTTTGTTGTGTGGTTGGTTTTGTTTTTGAAAGCAAAAACAAAACCAACCATACTGTTGAAACACCCCCTTAAAGTTCCAATTAGATTGATTTGACAAGATGATATGTATGACACCAACCCAAGGCTGCTGAATGGTCCACTTATATGATTAGTTATAATATTTGGCTGTTCTTAACTCAAATGTATAAGATGGATGCTCTGAAAGATACATTTTGGGCAACTGGTTGATGGTAGGAGTAGAATTGGTTTATACAATGCACCAGATAAGGCAGAAGTGTATGCTGTTAACTTGCATTTCTGCTTTACAGGCATATTCTGACATGATTGCTGAGCGAAGGGAGAAAGTTCGAAGTGGTGTTGAGGACACGTTTGGTCTAAGAAAGAGTCAATGATCAATAGAAGGGTTGTCATCTTGCTTTTCTTTCTGTAAATTCCATCAAAACAAATTCCTGGTGAACAATATAAGTATTTCAACCATGTATTTACTTTCTGAATCTATTTCTAAAAACTGTCTAATTTTACTTATTAATTAAAAGGGGAATGGTATAAGAATGAGAGCTATTACATTTGCAAAAGGCTGTCCACAAAATAATTATAACAGCTATTACCAAGAATAACAATGTTGCATGGGCATGGGCATGAAGATGCCAGCTACCTTACTGGTAAGGTCTCTGGCCAGTTGCAGCTCCTGTTCTGCAGCACATTAAAAAAATGGACACGGACATGGGAATCAGAATCCAATGCATGTCTGATAGTTGTCTTGACTTGGCAAGAAGAAAAAACAAGGATTAATGGATACATCTATAGGAAAAATATAAAGTACTAAGTATTCATTTGGGAAAATGGCATTCATTGTGTAAATGTCATTCTTGAAGTGTCTAATCTATGTAGTATCGGAATATGATGCATGTCTGACGTGGATACTTCATTCACTTAGGAGAGTCCATGCAACAATGTAGAATGCTAAATTTCAACAGAAGTATGTAAAGCTAAGGTTAGGAATCACTAATGAAATCGGGGATAGGAACTGAAATTGAATACAGTGTTAACAATTAAACGTGATAGGATTTCAAGAGTTGAAAGTATAAGAACTCTAATATGATACTGATGTTAAACTTTATTCTGTTCAACTGTCTTCTCTCCTATCTGGTAACATATCATGTACTTTGTTCTATGCTTCACATCGAGCACCAAAAACGTAATCCATGGTAACCATGGGTTACAAAAATAATGTATGGTCCATGATAACCAAAGGCATTCATTTATTTTATGGACTCTTTTATTCCTTTTGCCTAAAATGCCAGCTGCATCACTCTGGAATGCATATTCTTAGAAGAGCAGTTGGTGCTGAGATTTGAATCAGTTGCATCATTCACTGTAAGGAACGCAATGATGAAATTGCTTGTGGCAGCCCATATTGCTGAAATCTGTTTGTCTCAGTTAATGTTTCTTGTAAAATTCCAAACCATTTCTTTGAACTTCTATTAATTTACTAAGATCTGAATTTGATTCTTATGATCAATATCATTATTTTTGCAAATAAATTAAACTGAAAACATATTTAGTTATTGGATAAAAATTGAAGTATTGATCAGTTAAATCTACGGTTTTGTTATTTTACCTTTTCTAACTGATGTCATAACCCTTAGTCTTCATCAGCATTTTTTCTCTAAATTATATTCCTCAGTGTTGTCTGTTGACTAGTGGTTCATTTTCTTGCTTGTTTCGGTAAAGATGTCTTTCATTTTTATATTCTTTACTCAATCATGATGTCTTGCATGACTAAAACTCATTCTGTGGAAGAGGGGAATTCTCTAGTTTTGTGATTCGGATATTTAGGGTTCTAGACTGCATTTGAGGTTATCTATTTATTTGGTGGCACATAGTTTCATATCTGTGTTTATGATCGTGATATCATCAGAAGGCACTGATTATGTACATTATCAACCTATGGAACATTGCTCTGCCCTTAATCATTAATGATGAATATTTATTTCTTATTTTGTGGGAAAAGAAGAAAGAAAACACTAACAGGAAACACTCAGTAACCCTAACCATTAAATAAACAGATCATTTTCTAAATAATATCATCCCTGTATTTTAACCATTAACAATGGTTGAAACGGGTATATACTAAATAAAAACCCAATTTCAAATAAAGTCCCCAGACCATGAATAGACAAAAAAAGAGGCAGCCTAGTGCATGAGACTTCCACCAATGCGGGGTCTGGGGAGGGACAGATATACACAGCCTTACCCCTGTACATACAGAGAGTCTGTTTTCAAGATTTGAACCATGGTCACCCAGGTCGCAATGGAGCAACCCAACTGTTGCACCAAGGCCCACCCTCACCATGAATAGACAAATATGTCTAAATAAACTGGGCGCTACTTTTCAATAAAATATGCTGCTTGATTGCCTTCTCAATATCGGTAACTGATTGCAGTTTGTATCTCTGCTTATGGTTACCCCAATTCTCCTTGGAGAGGTCAGGGGTACATTATGAAGGCAATCAATAGTAATTTGAGAATCTCCTAGTCAAAATAATAATATTATTTTGTCAAGATGATCAGAATAATAATATTAATATTGTAAATATAATGAATTAGAAGTCTGATAGGGATTTTTACTAAGAGTTTACACAATTGGGAACAGTAGCAGGTGGGGGAATCCATCACAATTAAAGGGGGAGGGGGCGGGGGGGTAGCATAAGTGAGGGGACAATACATTTAGAAAACCAATAAAAATTTTTGAGGGGGGAGTAGACCATAAATTTTCCAAAATATATATAAATTGGTTCTTAAGACAAAACAAAATCGAAGAAACATGTTATTTGGTTGTGTATGAGTGTTTATGTTTTCAAAATTGAAATAAAAAATATGTTCTTGAAGTTTTTGGTTAAAAGAATATTTTTCATAAATCATAAGATACTTTTACTCTAAAGTTTGTTTTTGCCTTTAAAGGCATAATTTCAATGATTGCAAAAATAAGATTTCCCTTTTGAAATAAATTCAATTTATTTTTCTAGAACAGAAATAACAACGGCCATTTCACCAAAAACTAACACATTTTTGTTGATTTGGTAGTTACTGTTTTTTTAGAAAACAAAATCATTCACATTGACAAATACTTCTTTTTTTTTTATAAGGAAAAGATAAAACAATATACAAAGTAGGATAGATATCAAACTAACACAAGAGAGAGAGAGAACAGAACACAGAATTCATTGTGAAAGCAGGATTTAATACCAAGTTTCCACTACAATCAGCAGGAGACGTTACCAACTAGCCGGTTGGCACTTCACAAAGTATGAGTTGCTATTGCTTGACCTTTTAAGTAAAATTAGCAAAGCATTACAGTCGTGTACTATTAAGTATTAAGGCATTATTTGATTCACGGGAATAGGAGTCTGAAATTGGAATTGGAATGAGTTATTTTGATTTTAACTATTTGGTTGGGTAGAATTAAAACCCCATTTTCATTTCTATTGAAATAATATTCCCACATTTAAGTAAATGGCCATTCTCTACCTCTCCCTTCGGAATGACATTGTCAGACAATAGAAACTAATGTGTGGCTGAAATGTATTTTGTGAGATTGGTGTGAAAGAACAAATTGGGTCGCTTTGTGTGCATAGCTGAATAGATTGCAGATGAAAACAAACTTGGATGAGACTAGGCTCGGACTTTTGTCTTCTTTGGGTTGGTTGGAAATGGATGTCAATCTCTACTTCTGGTTTCTGACTAAGCAACTTGTCATTTATATAAAAAAAAGCTAAAAGCTAGTGTGTGCTGGCATCTGCCATCTCTATTTATATTATGTTATTTGATCGATTTGATGGATTTATGGCCAATTATTGGCTATTGTTGGTGAACTCTATTCCTTCCAATATGACAACAATTAAAACATCTAAAATTGTATTAATACCCACCATTTAAGTAATGGGTTTTGGACCAGAACAAGGCATACAAAGCTTAGTATGATTTCAAAGGGTCGGATCGAATCGGATATGTCAAGATCCAAGTTTGATTTATTAATACTCACAATCTTATTGGATTTTAATTTAATTTAACAAAAATATCAAAATATTATATATAAAATAACTTGTGCAAAATTTAAACCTATGACTCTTTACTCTTGACCAAAAATACAATACTGAAACAAATTTTACCACTATATATAATATTATATATATTCAAATCGAATTTATTTGATTCGGATTTGGACAATGAAACCAACTTTATCACTAGATATTCCAACCAGGTGTTGCCCATCATCGCATACGTAAATTTGATGGCAAGGACGCGTCTCAATCTGACGGTCTGGATCTACAAACAAAAGAAAAAAAGGAAAAAACAACTGGAAAGTGGGAAAACATTTTTCATGCGTCAGACGGACGTGTCCAATTTGGATTAGACTGGACTGCAAGAGGACAAAACAAAACGGAAAAAACAAAATGTGCTCATGTGCTAAATAAGGGAAATTCTAGTCATTTTACCTCATTGATGAGATGAGCATACGTGTTTCGGGATCTAACCGTTGGCTATGAGAGGACTCACCAGCTGTCTGTAATCTGGATAACTATTGTTAGATGAGGACGATGGAGTGTGGGCCCCTCATCCGTTTGTGAAGACAAACACATAAAGTTGATATCGTTCCTTCCCTCTCTCTCCCTTGTAGCGTCTCCACGCTCTGAATAATCTATAAATAGAACTTCTCTCAAACACTTTCAAGGGGCTCAGCCTAGAAATTTCTTATTCACAGTGGGTTGCCTGGTTGGTTGGTTCGTCTTCTCCTCCTCCTCCTTCCTACTTTTCTCTTCGGCGAGGCAGTTCGTTCATCTTTTGCTGCTCTTCAATCCTGATAATGGAGCTATGCAGCAATCCTCCTCGAGAATCCACTTCTCCTTTCGATTGCCTTCTTTTCGGTATCTCATCCTCTCCATGATTCATCCTTAATTGCTTGATTCACTGTTCTTCAGTGGATGATTAATTGATTATTTCTGATTTAATAATTGCAGATCTCGACGACACTTTGTACTCGTCGAAGGTGGGAATCGGTGAAGCGTGCAAGAGAAACATAGAAGGTAAATGCATAAAACACATAGAATATAACCAGTTTCCAGCTAAAATGAGTCGCTAAACTTAATTTCAGAAATTAAAGAATCAATAAAGGCCTGATCAGTGATCGTTCATCATTGAACCATATACAGAGTTCCTTGTGAAGAAATGCGGATTTCCAGAGGACAAAGCATCCAGTTTACGAGTTGAGCTTTTTAAAACTTACGGGAGCTCCCTTGCTGGCTTGAGAGTAACTACTTTTAACTAATCATTCAAAAGAAAATCATTTAAATTGTTTTTTTCTGCATTTTTCATTTTCTGTATGCCTATTTTTCTGGTAAATTAATTTCTCTATTGCATTGCAGGCTTTAGGCTATGATATCGACACCGATGACTATCACGGGTGAGAAACCTAAAAGACTGCAAAGCTGAACAAATAGTCTCACCTTTTCTTAATTTCTCTCCACTGAAGAAGAGAATTAATTTCGACAAGTCTAATTTGTTAAGAGGTTTGGTGTTGCGTTACTGATATCCATATTTTTTCTTACTAGTTTCGTGCACGGAAGGTTGCCTTATGAGACCATTAAACCAAATCCTCAACTACGAAATCTTTTGCGGACCATCAACCAAAGAAAGATAGTAAGATTAAAAATATTCAAGTGCCTCTTGTAAATCTCAATTTTCAAGTTTACAATTCGACTTCAATTTCCTGTTAATATTAGATATTAAGCAGTCTCCGTCTTCTCTTTAATTATTATTATTTTTGCAGATTTTTACCAATTCGGATAGGAACCACGCGATTAAAGTGTTGGACAGGCTAGGATTACAAGACTGCTTCGATCAAATAATCTGTTTCGAGACTCTTAACCCAAACCTTTCGAAATCCAGTCGTCCCGACGAGTTTCCCGTTGTTTTGAAGCCATCCATCAACGCCATGAAAATCGCAATCGATGTTGCACAAGTAGATCCCTGTCGTACGGTACGCCACCTCATTTTTTGCATTTGAGACTTATTTTATATTTGCGTGATATTTTTTTATCCTGAAACGCGTATTGTTTGGCAATCTTTCCCAGCTATTTCTCGACGACAACGAACGGAATATTGCCGCCGGGAAAGTCGTGGGACTCCGCACTGTCTTGGTAAATTTTCAACTCTTTTCTGCGTGTGTGGGGGCGTGCGCCTTACGCGGCTTTGTCTCCTCTGTGAAAGACTGGGATACTGGATAGTCATAGGCTTCACGGAGGAGGAAAAGCCTCATATCGGACGGTGGATAAAAAAGCCACGCCGCCGCTTATACGGACTGTACGATCGCATTAGGAATTCTACGTGAACTGAACTCAAAATCTCAAATTGCCCCTAACAACACAAACCTAAACTAGTTCTCAGAGCCACCTATCAGAATTCAGAACTTCAAAAGCGAGATTCTGGTTTGTGAAACTTCGTGCGACACATCCAGTTTGCGTTGATAAAGGAATCAGCGTGGTCAGTCATAAGTCCTAATCACATGATACAGAGATTGTGTTCTGTATCAGTATCCTGTATTTCTATGATAGATCGCGTACACATCATTGGGTTTACGCCTCCAAAGCTAAGGATCGAAGATCCAGTTGTTTGGGAATTGGGATCTTTGATATATATATATATATATTTGTTCTTGCTGTTATGCATTTACAATTTAGGCTATGTTTGTTTTGTAGGGAGCTTTTCCCTACCTTTTCCTTCAATCCAAACATAACCTTAAAGTTTATTAATAAGTAGTTAACAATTCAACTAATGGCATTGATATCCTGGTCGTGAAGATTGGGAAGCAAGTAAAAAGCAAAGAAGCTGGTTATGTGGCGGAGAGCGTAGTCCATCTGCCGCAAGTGGTTCCAGAAATATGGTTCAGTCGAACGGACGGTAAAGATCAAAAGATCAGCAGCAGCGGGAGCGAGATGGATTCGGTTCTCAAAGCGACGACTGTTGGTGCATAGCTGAAGTTTAGTTTATAGCCCACGACCCTGTACATATCGGATCGTATAATCCGATTATTCTGTGGCTCTTGTGTACTTGTGGAAAAGATCGAATGATCATGCATGTAAATGGGTTGTACAAATAATGACAATTCAAAAAAAATGTAGAAAATAAATTCCACGTACACCTCACGCATGGCTGGTTGGGAACGACGTAGCCTTTAGTTGTTGGCCTATTGGGTCGGTTAGTTGGTTGATTGTTATGCCTGTCTGATAAAGATGCACACCAACCAACAGCTACCTATCAGAAGTTTCCAGAGACCACAACGATCTCACAGGCACATTTCATCATGTATCGAAAATATCTTTCATAATTAAGTATTATTTTTCATGGAAGATGTTTCCAATACACAGAAGGGGTATGTCTGAAAGGTCGGAATGAGGTGTGATCTGTGAAAAGCAGATCCACCAATTCAAGTTTCTATTACTTGATGTTACTCTAAGCACTCTGATTAATTTTAGTCAAATTAAGTGAAGGTCTTGGTCCCCCCAAAGCACTAATTAAGGACCATTACATCATTGTCTGCTTTTACAAAAACAAAACAAAGATGCTGTATATAATTTTACTTAGTTCATGATGTAAATGAATAAGCAAACAAGTTTATTGACCTTGATGAGATGAGATGGAGGAAAATATATATTCAAAGACAGAAGAATATTGATTGATATGAACTATTAATTAGATGTAGACGGTAGTGTTAGTAGTAAGGTTTTGTTATGGGCTTAATGGTGCAGAAAGCGGGGATACAATTGGATGTTCACTTCCATTTTAGTGCAAAACGAGTCATTCATAATTTCATATGGGAAAACCGCTTTCCGGTGACGTGTCATTCTTTTTGTGTGTGCGTGTCTCTCTCTCAATGGCCGTCACGAAGTGGATTATGGGTAAGGGAAAGATTGAAAAGGGATAATAATTAAATGATATACTACACCTGCATGAACATTGAATTATATGGTCTCCAACTCCAACCCTTCTGCTGAAACAACTCACTATTTTCAACTGTAATAATGACATGGAACCATGCTCGCATGTATCGTAAGTGGAGCCCTAATAATATCAATATCTCCATGGTATAATTGATTATTTTAATTTTTATATTCTAATATTAACTATTCGTGGAAAATCCGCTTGTTTTATTTTATTTATGCTGAATGTCAGATCTGAAAAATCTTCTAACATGTACGATTCAAGCATTCAGCCATATCATCTAACAAAAATCAGACCGTTCTTATCCTACTACCTTTAGTACTCAAGTCTAAATCTATTGGGAACCAGCTATGGTAGATCGATCTCCTCTCTCTGGGGGTGGACGAATGGGCATTCTTGAGCTATTTATAGAGAGGTAGGCGTGTTGGGAGAGCGAGATGTTTTCATACCGAAGATCCCAAGATCCCAAGTTCTAACAACACATTTGTAATTGTTCTTAAGTTCTTGAAAATTATTATATAGCAATTTCATGCAAAGTTAATAGTAGTTTTGCCTTTTATGGTACAATGTCAAAATTTGACTGAGAAACCACACATAGCGTGAATCAATTGCTATCAAATCGGATTTATCCAAGAGATTTAGGGGGCATTCTTTTTCTGGATTTTGAAAGGGGGAAGTTGGTCAATGGGATTCTGATTCCTATTGACCAAAAAACCCATATTATTTTTTCAGATTTATGTGGGGGATAGGGAAAGTTTATTTACCTGGGTATCACTTACCCGGGTAAGTGATACCCATCTCCTAGGTGGGTAAATAACTTTCCCACTTGGGGGGAAAGTTGCCAACACTTGAATGGGACAAAAATATCCCTTTTAATATTGTATTTTTATGGCTAAAACGGTCATTGCCTTAGGTGCCGTTTGGTTACACTTTTAGTGGTCTGAATTTGAAAATGCTACTTTTCATACCTCACCCCTTGTTTGGTTATACCTCTTAAATTGGGTCTGAAATTGATTTTCAGATCTGAAAATCATAGACCTTGGGCTGACTCTTAACGCGCTCAAACACGTTTAGAGCCGGCCCAATGTCCAAAATATCCTTACAATTTTTCATAAAGGACTCGAGTTACCCCTAATACCCCCAAACCCAGAAAACCTAAACATTCGACCTCTCTTTCTCTCTATCTCTCTCTCTGTCTCTCTCTCTCTCCGCCCTATCTTCCTGCCACCACCACTGCAATTGCAATGGCTCTCTCTCTCTCCCCATGTCTTCTCTCTCTCTCGCTCTCTCGCTCTCTCCCTTTCTCTCGCTCTCTGTCTCTCTCTCTCTCTTCGCGCTGTCTTCCCGCCACCGCTGCTACAAATTGCAGCTGTGACTCTCTCTCTCTTCGCCTTGTATTCCCGCCATTGCAGTTGCAACTTGTAGTGGCGACTCTCTCTCCCCCTGTCTTTTCTCGCTCTCTCTCTCTCTCTCTCTCTCTCTCTCCCTTCCCTGTCTTCCCACCACCGCCACCGCCACCGCCACCACCGTTGCAACAAGCAATAGTGGTGGTTTGGTGAATAATAATAATGCTTTTATTAATTATTAATTACAAATTATTTTTATTAATTATTTTAATATATTTATTAAATCTTAATTATTTTTATTAAATTTACTTGTTTTATTTATTATTTATTAATTATTTTTAATAACTAGTAATTTTTAATTATTTCATTAATTTTTATTTGTGTAAATTATTAATTATTTTAGTATTTTTATAATCATAATTATTTTTTAAATTCTAATTCGTTTCATTTATTAATTAGTAGTTATTAATTTACTATTTTTATTTGTATTGTTTCAATTTTATTTTGAGGTTGAAAAATAATTTTTATGAGATAATGTAAATTGAATTCAATACTTCCAAATTGTATATTTTAGGGGTAAAATAGTAAAATCAGTAAATTTCAGATGTCAAAGGGTTGATCCAACACAAACAAACTTATGGATTTAGATCCTCTAAAAAGTAGAAAAGCAACTATGCATCTTTTCATATTTTAGACACATTTAATATCTTTTTAACTTTTCAAATCTAAATTTTCAGATTTATCAAATGCCACTTTACTTACATGGGAAATAAAAGAACATGGGTAAATGTAATTACTTGGATAAGTCTTTCCTGTGAAACACTTATTTGGGTAAATGCATTTACCCGGGTAAGTAACTCACCGAAAAGCGAATGGACCTTAATGTCATAGGGTGTCTTGTCCTTTTTCTACTTGCCACAATGTGAGGATGATTTGTTGAGTGTAAGAGTGTCAATGGACCGGACCCCATCCAGTCCAAAATCAATTTGGACGGATTGGACAAACCAAGAAGACATATTGGATTGGACCACTCAGATCTAAAATATTTATTAGATTGGACTGGACCTGGTTCATCCGTAATTAATTTATATTGGATGCAGTTGGATTAAACTAATATCCAGTCCATTGATCTAAGATAAGAATATAGGTGTCAACGAATCGGGTTTGGGTTGAAATCAATCTAACTTAAAACGAATTTGAACAGATTGGACAGTCCGAACATTAAATTGGACTAATCCAAAATATTCATCGGATTGGATTGGAATGGACTTGGTCTATTTGTAATGGGCTCACATTGGACTAAATCCAATCCAATTGACACCCCTAATTGAGTGCCTTCACACGTCACTCGAAAAGAAGAGAAGAGAAGAGAAATCAGGCCATAAAAGGGCCTCTATGAAATGAAGAGATAAGAAAGTGATTCCTTAGTGAGAGAGACACGGCCAACCCCTACTCTAAGTCCAAGTCTCCCCAAATGTGTTCCATCCACCTTCATTTATAAAGTGAGGAGAAAATGAAATTAAATAATACTTTTAAAATAAAATGTGATGTCATGATCGTAATGAGTTTTTAGAAGAGTAAGAAATAGATAAAAGATCATTTCAGCACATGTTTTCATACAACATCTAATGTATGTCCCATTGTGGGTTACACACTACCCATGGGTCGTATCAACCTTCTAAGGCACCACAAATACTCTATAAAAACCATTATTTTATTTTATGATTGGTTAATGGCATCTTGCCATGTCAGCCCTACCGTTCATTTACTTTTCACCATATGCACCGATCTTTGGGGCATGTTTCCCTGACCTTCAAAGTCCAAACCACTTTTCTCACGTAAAAAGATAAACGAACCTTGTTAGAAAGAATAAAGCATCCACCCTTAGGCTTATTGGATAACTAGGTCTAGATTATATATATCTATGATGTGTGGACCTATGCGGACCAGGTCTATGGCATATGAGCCCAAGTCACTAGGTTGAATTAAACCCATAGGCTGAAGGCTTCAAGTCAAGGTGTGTCTCTAAGTCGAACATTCCATGTCGCGCCCAGGCCCCAGGTCGAATTAAATCTCTAGAAACACAGTGCTAGGCCTAGATAAGTATAAATGTCATGAACTATTGAATTATGAGGGTTTATGCAAGTTCCCTTTTGTCTACTGTGTCAAAAACATCCCCGGGGATACTTCCAAAAAACTCTACAGCACATGCTGTGTATTGGGAACATCTCTTGATGATAGTACCAGTCCCGATGATGACATCATAGGGAGATGTTCCCAATACACGAAGGGGATGTGCTGTGGGGCGGAGATATGATCTCGAGTCTTAGTGCTATAAAGGCATTTCCCATATTCGTTCAAGAGTCATCTAGAACTAAAATACCAGAGTTCTAGCACAACTAGGATTTTTCCCTAAAAGTCTAATACAACTAGGAGCTTTATGATATTCATCCCAACTTTACCATTAGACTTAGGGTTAAAGACTTAAACCTCCCTTCACATTTCTCATAAAAATACTGAAACCTCCCTTCTGTTTTGAAATTGGACTAAGACCTCCCTTATTGGGTGATATCATTGGACAGAAACCTCCCCTCCTCTAACAAATCTGTTTGTGATCCACTTGCACATGATATCATGCACATGTAAAATTTTATAAAAATCGAATTTTGCCTTTATCCAAAACTGAAACCCCAATGTAATTTGGCTATCTCTTATGACCAGAAAAAATCCCTTTCTATTACTCCTTATTTAGTATTTGTGTTGTGTTTTGTTTTAAATTATTTTGTTAGTGATAATCTTTGTTTTCCTCACGAGTCAAGATATGTATGAAAAAAAAGCATCTATACTAGCTTCAACTAAAGGAGATTCTATAAAATATGGTCTTGGAAGAAAGATTGGTCATGATGCCTCTTTGAAACAGAATAAAACAACCACAAGCATTGTCAATCCACTTTATAACTGATGAGTTATCAAGAAGTAGCGGATGTACTTTCTCTCCCGTTTTAGAAATCTGTTGGGTTTTCATTGGATGGTTTGAGAACTTCCTCCATTAAATAAATGAGTAGGTGTTCAAACCTGGGAAGTTGAAAATTAGGACTGCTCTTGTAATTAATTAAAACTTACAAGTTTGTTTAGTCTTTTCAAGAGAGGTGCCTTTAAAATGACTGTCCTTTGAAAATTAAGCAGGATTTGTAGAGAATGGTAGATAGCTTGCAAGGGAGAATTTCGCAAGGCATCCTG